TGTACCCTGAATGAGATTTCCTTCTCCTCCTCTTAGTGGCTTTTTCCTGAAGATATTTCCTTTGTCTTTCCTTTTGGCCTGTGAACTTAGTGCTGACCTATTTTTCCTTGGCACTGACCTTTGCAAGCATAGAACATGGTGTTATCTACAAGCTGATGAAGCATGGTTGCCTGAGTAGAAGTGGCTGAGTGAGACAGTCCAGATTGCTTACTGTTTTCTGTGAAAAATCTCTTCCCTGTAGCACAAGCAAACATTGCCTATAATGCATATAAGTCCTGTTATTGTTGTCTTATGGTATGTCTGCACTGCAATGTAAGCCCAGGGTTAGTGGGACTTGAGTCAGCTGACCCATGTTAGGGAATCCTAGGCTTGAACCTCTACACTGCATTCTAACCCTATGTTAAAAATTTTCTGACTCTTGCTCAAACCTAGGGCTCTGGCATCCACACTGCAGTGCAGAGATCCGAGTCAAAGTAACCACATCCCAGAGTCCCACTCTAGCCCTAGCACTGTGGGAAACTTTACTGCTTGCCCTGCATGTTACCAGGAAGCAGCTCACTTTGCAAAAGGCTTGGAAAAAATAATCCCAACTATACATATACAATAATGGGTTCCAAATTAGCTGTTCCTGCCAAAGAAAGAGATCTTGGAGTCACTGTGGATAGTTCTCTGAAAACATCCAGTCAGTGCGTAGCAACAGTCAAAAAGGCTAACAGTACATTAGGAACTATTAGGAAAGGGATAGAAAATAAGACAGAAAATTTCATAATGCCCCTATGTAAATCCGTGGTGTGCCCACACCTTGAATACTACATGCACTTCTGTTCTCCCAATGTCAGAAAGGATATAGCGACACTGGGAAGGGTTCAGAGAAGGGCAACCAAGATTACCAAGAGTATGGAAGGGCTTCTATATGAGGAGAGACTAAAATATTAGGACTGTGCATTTTAGAAAAGAGGTGACTAAGCGAGGGCTATCACAGAGCTCTATAAAATCATGAATGGTGTGGAAAAAGGGGATACAATATAAAAAACCCCAAGGGTCACCCAATGAAATTAATAGGCAGCAGGTTTAATACAAACAAGAGGACGTACTTTTTCCACACAACACAGAACTAACCAGTGGAACTCATTGCCTTGACCAATGTACAACTGGGTCAAAAAGGAACTGGAGAAGTTAATGGCGGACAGGTCCATCAATGGCTATTAGCAAGGATGATCAGAAATGCAACCCCATGCTTGGGGCAATGCTACACCTCTGACTACCAGAAGCTGGGAGTGGAAGATGGGTGGATGAGTCCATAATTGCCTTGTTATGTACACTTCTCCTGAAGCTCTGGTATGGGCCACTGTTGGAAACTGGGCAACATGGACTATGGGCTAACCCAGTGTCGCAGCTTTTATGTACTTTAAGTATTTATGTCATCAGGTCTTTTTAAAAGAGTAAAAATTAACAAAAGACAGTGGTTTAAATGTATCCTGACACCCCTTCTAGACCTGGCATTTCCTGTCTTAGTTTCCTGGGCTTTTGTCCCAGGAAAGGGGAGGATTGTCCAGTGGTTAAGGCACTGGTCTAGGATATCAGAGGCCTGGTTTCAATTCCCTGCTCTGCCATGGACTTCCTGTGTGTGACTTTGGGCAGGTCATTTAATCAGTCTGTGCTTTAGTCGCCCATCTGTACAATGAGGATAATGCTTCCCTTCCTCACAGGGCTGTTGTGAGGATAAATGTGTTAATGATTGTGAAGCTTTTTGAAATCTACTGATGAAAAACAATATATAAGAAATAAGTTTTAGTATTATTTGTCCAAATAGACACCAATGCTTGTTATCCTAAGCAATTTCAATATCCATGTGGCAGATTACTTATGTAGTTTAACCCAGGATCTCCTGACGAGCAGAAAAAACGTTGGATTATCTGTAATATTCTCTGACTAATAAAATCCAGTAAGGAAGTACTGGGTCCATTGCTGATGACTGGTCAATTCCCTATGGGAGTCCAGGATGCCAGCTTCTCTCAAGGGAGTGGTAGTTAGGCTCTTGCTTGAAGACGTAAGCTTTGAATGTTGGCAGTTTCACCAGTTAGTGCTTTGTCTCTACCCCTCTCTTTTTGGGTGAAGTCATTAAGTCATTGAGAAGCACCAAGGCAGTTCTGAATCTATGGGAATCTTCCTATTGCCTCAATATCTTACAGTCCAGCTGACAGCTTTGGACACAGAATGGAAGTTCTGCTTCTCTCACTTGTTCATGATTTCTTGTTCAGAAGTTGTGTCTCCATGCTGATTCTTTTAGGCACCAGCTCAGCAAAGTACTTAAGTGCTTTCCTGATTAGGGATGGACTATTGAATTAGTCCTATGACCCTTCCAGCAGTTGAGGTGTCAGTGAACCTCACTAAGATAGATAAGAATGCTACTGAATTATTCATCCCTTTTCTTCTACAGATGTACCGCATTACTTCACTGTACCAAGCATTCTCTCCTGTGGAGTCCTATGTATTCTCTCACCTCTGGTTTAATGTACAGGATGCCACTAGGGGAGATAGTGAGACAATTTGAGCAATGATGCCCTTAGCATGTAGCTCTAGATTTCTCTTTCATATCAGCCCAGGTGGTTTTTACTTTCCCCCTGAATAACCAAGGTCTGAACTTGGGTGAGAGCAAAAAGACTGAAGCTTTGTCCAGACCAGATGTAGGTGATGCTAGTGAGGGTGGTGTTGTTCAGGAGGTTGACCAATCCTTTATAATAAAGACTATTGCAACATCCTCTTCTCTGGCCTTGCTAAATCCTATCCTGGTCCATTTATGTGCTGGTGGAAAGATCTTTTCCTGGCTCACCACTTTGACCATGTCACACACTCCTTTGTGTCTCTCCACTGACTCGACTGCATCAGATACAAACTACTTGTCTTCATTGTTAAGGGCCTTCTCAGTCTATTCCCCATTATCCTTTTAATCTCTCATACGGTATCAAGATGTCAAACCCATCTTCACTCCACAAAAGATGCCTGACTTGATTGCCCATTTAAAAAAAAATTCAATAAAGACATTAACCTTTTCTCCTGTGCCAGACCTATGCTTGGGAAGGGCTGCACTACTGGCCCATTGCCCTCCTTCACATCCCTCCTAAAACTCGTTTCTACCATGGTGCCTACAAAAAACTCAGCAATGGTTGGGCGGGTGATTTTTCCATGACTGCTACTTTTCATGCTGACCAGCATCTTCTCATTGTTTCTTTGTGCTCCTCCCCCACCCCCACCATTTCTTTAAACTGTCCGTTGGCTATAGACTTACATGTAGAGTGCAGGCAAGCTCTTCAAGGCAGGGCCTGTATCTTTGTTATGCGTGAGCGTACAGTGCCTAGCACCGTGGGGCCAGGGCATCTATGTGCCACTATAATACAAATTAATAACAATTTGTACTTTGCATTTGCATTCCTCTGAAGATCTCAAAGAGCTTTAAAAAGGCACTGATTTGCCTAAGGCCACACAGCAAGTGAGCGTCAGTGTCGAGAATAGAATGCAGGTCTCCGGAATCCAAGCAGTTTGCAGTTTCTATTTAGTTACAAAGTTGTCAATCACCTGAATACCTGAAAGCCTAGTTAGGAATGTGTGACACTCTCTAGGGGTGCCCAGATTTGTGAGGCACCTCAATACTACTAGTCCTTAGCATGCCTGAAACCACCAGCATCTGGCACAAGCACTGCCTTCCAGCCCCCCACAGGCCTCTCTCTGTCTGTACAGGTATCCAGTACAGTGCAGTGTCCAGCCCCTTATCCACTGACCACTCACAGAAGTACCAGGCTACTATCCACAAAGGAAGGGTATACACCAGCGTGCAAGATTCAATTTGAGACCAGGACTTTGCTTAACACTAACATACTGAGATATATTGATAGTGAAAACAAGACTACATTTATTATCAAGGAATAGCTATTCAAGTAATAGTGAGTAATAATACTGGAAACAAAAGGTTACGTGTAGAACAAAATCATAACATGCTTTCTAAAGCCTAAGCTTAAAAGGTTAACCTCATGCCTAAAAACAAAAGAACAAAAAAAAGGAGGGGGGGGGGAAAGAAAAAAACCCTCACCCAAAGTTCTCTTCAGCAGCATTTTTCAGCCAAGCCTGGTTCAGATCCTTTTTTCTTCCTCGGTGAAGGGGAGCAACAGGTGACAAAGATTAAATGTATTGGTTTGTAATACAGAAACAAATGGTAGTGTTTTCTGGTGGTTTAGGTTTATCGGGAAGCAGGATATTGGGGAGGGAGGCAGTGTGTGGGGTTGTGTTATTTATTTAAACAAAGGAAACGACATGCATATTCAAGAAAGTGATTGGCAGTATTATGTAGGCATTTCATCCCAGATCCTCAAAGGTACAGTATTTTGGCTCCTAACTTCCATTGGGCTTTCCTGATTATCTTCCTTTGTTGTTCCAGCAGCCTAGAAAAATGACTAGTATGATACAAATAGTATGTTGAATGGCACAAGTGTTTAATAGTCATTTCCTCGAGCACTTCAACCTGTCTTTTGTTTTGTCTTTGCTTCTCCTTGTCTGTGACTTGGAATCGCTGAAAGAAGAAGGGAGGGCATCACAGACAGCTACCTCTTAAATTCTTGGAACGGCTTGATTGAAGCCTGGAGTCCTGTGGCAAAAGAGAAGCAGCAGCCAAGGGATTTCCTATATCTTGTTTGTGATTCTTATAGAAAATGCGTTTATAGTTTCTGCATGCTGGTACAAATGTACTACTCTGTAAATGGCTGGGAAAGTAATGTTAGTGATAGAAGGATGTTAGTTGTATGCCTAACAGATAAGACTTTTCATAGCCTGTAAACCATTATTTATTGACTATGGACACCACTATTATTAGAATTAAAGGGCTCAGTTGCACAACCATCTCCCATACTAACCCCAGTGCGTTATTGGAGGGAAAAATAAGGAAAAACTCTCACCACCAGCCATGGCTCCTTTAGGGTATGCTCTAATTTTTACGCTTTCTCCCACAGGAACTTTTTACGCCGGAGTGCAAGTTTAAGGAGTCGGTTTATGAAAATTATTATGTAATCTACTCATCCATGCTCTACAGACAACAAGAGTCGGGTAGGGCCTGGTTCCTGGGGCTTAATAAGGAAGGGCAGGTCATGAAAGGAAACAGAGTGAAGAAAACAAAACCAGCAGCTCATTTTCTACCCAAGCCATTGGAAGGTGAGCTTTGGGCCATCACAGCCAGATATGCTGAAATTTTAAAACATCTCTTTCTTTGAGATGGTAATACCACAAAAGGAGGGGGGAATGGGTCCTATGGTATCATTTCAGAATGCACTTGGCACACACCCACTGGCCATTCCATATGAAAATTGCTAGGATTCATGAGTGTTTTGTGCTTCACCACAGTGTGTCCTAGAAAGGGCATATGTAAAATGCTCTTTCATGGGATTAAGAGGTCATTTTATTAGAAGAAAACCTATTGTTAAAATGCATTGTGCTGTGCAGTGAGAAAATCTTCCTTTCATGAACCAGCATGAGTGGCTCTGAACAATAATGTATACTTAAGGAAATTGGAGTTCTGAATGGAAGAGATGAAATGTCAGCATTCCAATTTAAGAGCATTCCAACACAAAACTCAAAGGCCTTATTATAGACTAAATCAAACTGCACTATTCAGTCAGCTGATGTATGGTGCACCTTTGTATATGTCAGCTATTCTGCTAGGTTAGGAAAGGGGAACAACAAATAATACCTTAAGTCATGCTAACCTTATATACTAAAATGATCCTGCATAATCTGGCAAAATGTGTTAAATTTTTTGTCTTGAATGTGGAATTGTCTATTTGTCCTACTCATTCTACAAGACTTTTTCACCCGGGCTTTTTTTGTTGTTCAGTCCTATTTACACTCCAGATCTCATTCACTTTGATCCAGATTGTTGCTCATCACCTGAGTAATGCTGAAAAGTGTCTCATTAGTTAACGTCTTAAAAGAAACCCCACACCTTTCTGAGTAATGATTTTGTCAGCAGTGTCATGTTTTTTAACATTACAGTTATCCGAGAATTACAAGGTGTGGAAGGTTTTGAGGAATTTCAAATCTAAATCATGTGTTAAATGTGTTAGATTTTCATTACATAAAGGAAGAGAGTCTTACCAGCCCTAGGTGACTGGCTTTAATATCACATCTTAGTTTACACTGATTTGTTTTTTTCCTATGCTCCACAGTTCAAGTGGTCTTTAAAACTTTCCCAGTGTTTCAACAAGACTTGCACTATATGTGTTAACCCCTATATATGAACTTAAAAGTTATGTATTTTAAGACTTTTATTGGGAAAAATGCCAGAATATTTTTAAAAAGCAGTCGCAGTACACACAGCTTAGGGAAGATGTGATTTTTCCATTAGAGTAATTAATATTTGTACAGTCAGACTCTTTATCAAAAGGGTTTAGGTAAGGCTTAGAAACAACTTATTTTATGTGGCCCAGAAGAGTCGTCAAAGACTACAGCTATACAATGTAATTCTTTCATTTTATATTGCTATCTCATGGTGCTTACCTTCATATTTTTGTAGGTCACATTGGTATTTCATCCTGTTCCTAATTAATCAGCAAACAGAAGTGTCCTAAAAACAATTATGGGTGTGCACTCTAAAGACATAGATCATCCCCAGCATTATGTACTCTCGAGAAGAAATTTAATTTCAAACTTTCAAAAGCCATAAAAAGATTTAGATTATGTCATTGCAAATGTTAGAACAAGTTAAGGACTTGATTAGTTAATGATGTTATGGGCCTTTCATATCTATTATGAAACTTCTGTACATTGAAGATCAAGGTCAGTGCTTTGATGCTACTGCCTCCTATTTTAATTAGTCCAGGGAAGAAGGGATTGTTCTCTCACATGGTTTTTTCAAGATTTTGTGTGTGATGATTCATTCTTTTGACTGCTTGACTTCTCTTTTTTAACACCAGTGTGATATAAATAAATGCTACCCCCAAGTTATGTGTAAGTAAAATATTACCTGATTCAGTGATGTGGAAAATGAAATTGAATTATCGAACAGTATTCATCATTAAGGCAGCTCAATGCAGGTACTTTGTAACTGAACAAGTGTATTTTCCTCAAGTGATTTAAAATGGTTACGACCCTAGTGAATCCCAGTGTGCTCTTCTTAATTCTTCCATAAATTCAGTTAATAATTTAGTTTTGGAGTTTTCTGCATTTCAAAATTCCAGCAAAGATCAGTGACTATGGAATGTTTCTTGGCCATGCATTACAAGACATCTTAGGGAAAAAAGAAAGAAATGAATACTAGCTGAACAGTGGCTGTTCTATGTGCTGTCTGGAACCATCCCAAACACTTCACCAGTATAGATGAATAAACACCAAGTCTTATCTAATCTCATCATGTTTTAATTTTATATAAATGCTCTATACGATTTAGTTTTTGCGAATACATCAGTGAGCCATTTATGGGGGGAAATAAATGCCACCTATTAACCAGGCTGTAAGAGGAATTTGAAAATTTAAATAATGATTGACTAAATGATTTTCCTTCATGAAAGTTAAAAGTTCTTGATTCTAATATCGTCGTTCTAGTCTTTGACGCTGAAAATAAGATCCTCGTGGCATTTGATAAAGAAATAACTTAATGAGGAACACCAGTAAATATCAAGAATCCTTAAAATGTAATCGGAAAATTCAGTTTTGACTATTGACCTATTTTGTAATAAGACTGTACAAAGCCCGAGGGGTTTTGCTGTACAGCTCATTCTTCCATATTGTACAAATTGAGATAGAACGATTGCTTTTCATTTCTGAAGCTTCTATAAACAAGTCACATTATCCATTTAAAAACAAAGGGACAATTTCCTATTGTGCATGTAAATCAGGGGTGACGGAGGAATAGAGACACTTGGATTGTGTGGAAAATATATTAGTGTCTTAAAATAGTCCCTTTCAAAGTAGCTAATCTCCTTCACACAAAAAGGAACAGAGAGACGATTAAAACACTTGTTCTCGTAAGGATGATACACGAAATAATTTGTAGAGCATATTTTTATAAGTTCTATGGCCTGTATTATACAGTAGGTCACAGAGGGCCCTTCTGGCCTTGGAATCTATGAAAATGAATCCTTCTGAAGTTTTTTTTTCCCTTCTTCCTTTAGTTGCCATGTATCGAGAACCGTCCTTGCATGATGTTGGAGAAACAGTGCCAAAGGCTGGGGTAACTCCAAGTAAAAGCACAAGTGCATCTGCAATAATGAATGGAGGCAAACCAGTGAACAAGAGTAAGACGACATAGCCAGATCCTCACAGGTGTTGTGACTTATTGAGCCCTGAGTACAGTTGAGCAATTTATCCTTGCCGGACTCTCCGACTTCAGTGTCTGTGGATCAGCTTGAGGCAAGTGAATACTTGCTCTTTGCTGTTTCTGAACTAAATTGTTGCAAGTGGATAAATCTCAACATGTAGCTCCTCCCACAACAAGAAGACACCTGGATAACCAGCTAAACTCAGACCATGGAATGCCCTACCAGATATGGAATGCCTTTTTAATATCTTTTCTGTGACTGTGACACTTCATGTGAATGACATACTTCACAAGTACACTTGATACCTTGCCTGCTGACAGTTACCCATAATCCCTTTTTGAGTCCAGTTTCAGCGAAATCCATGTGTTTAAGTTCTATTTTGTAGCACACAGATAATATCAAGTAATTTCTAGTTAGACGCTGTAAACCTGTGCTGTTATGGATTTCTCTTCTTCCCTTTTTTTTACAAGGCTGCTTGCTCCACTGTCTGTGACCTTTTGCAGGGATTGTGGTTCTCTAAAACTTAAATGTTGCAGGTGGCTTAGTTCTGAAAGCAATCAGGGAATCAGGAAGCCTTCAAAAACCTATTATTATGAATTATATCTATGAAGACTAGGATCATTGTCTCCGACGTAGAATATTGATAAATGTGAATACACTTTAGTAACAGGTACCATGCTCCTGAGGTTGGCATTATTGTGGTGGGAAAAGTGTCAAACACGACCAGTAGAAAAATTTTTGAGACTAGTGTTTGACATCTCCCTATAGTTTCTTTTTGTGTGTGTGTTTTATACATATCACAGGCTTACTGGTAATGGTAACATTTGCCTTGCCCAGCGAGCAAGACCCACTCATTTTTGGGAAAGTGGGTCCAAAGAACTCTGTAGGCCTTGTAGGCCTGAATTAAGGCTCATTTTTCACCTACTAATCGTCATTGTTTGAAAAACAATAATTAAGACTAACAAGAATTGCGCTACCTAAATCCAGTTCAGATCTAATCCTTTCCTGTTTTTAATTAACTGAATTTAATGCCATCATTATTTTGGCTGTTTCCCACTCTTCCTCAGCAAAGCACGGGCAAGGATGATGTTGTGTTCTTTTTAGCAGCACCAATGCAAAGGGTAGTTACAAATTATACTTTAAATATATTTAAAATTATACTTTTAATTTTTTTTAAACTGGGTCTATTAGAAAACATTAACAAAAAATGTTTAGCTCAGCATGCAGAGTCCAGTCCTATGTATTTCACCCTGTAACCCATACCTCTAACCCAGCTTTTTAGGATGTTCCCACCGAGTTGCTAGATAAACGGTGCCTTGCCTTGCTTTCTGTATATTATACATTCTAACTAGTGGAAATCAAACCCATTATGAGATTGAGTCCTTGGATCATGTTCAATTGCTTCATGAAAAATATTGGTGACATTTCACTGGTGTCAGTTAACTGTCATGAAACCAATTGAGAAAAAAATAAAATGGGTAATAAGCTTTAGACAGTACAACAAAGATGCCATTGTAGTGTTAAATACTGTAGGTAATGAGTTTCAAATATTTAGTCGCATACTTTCAAAAGACTGAAATAAGGCTATTCTGTGTGTGCTTAATAGGCATTTGCTTCTCAGAAAGGGCAACAAGTACCTGAGTTTTGGCAAACTGTGTGTGACAACCTTCTATTGGCCTCTTGCTGTTATCATGTTTAAGGGAGACAAACTTCATCCTTCCCTTTTGAGCAATTGTATTTACTGAAAAAAATAATTTTCTCATGGCATTACACAGAGCTCTGTGACAGGCCACCAGTTGTTTCAAATTGCTGGCCTGTTTAGCTGCATACTGATTCAGTCTACATTAACTCTTCATGCTTTGTCATACGGGAGAGGTTCCATTTTAATAAGTAACCCAGCATATTATTCAAATAGGTTATTGTAATGCTGCTATGAGTCTTTTGACAGTTTTAGGTTCCTTGTTTAGATACCGTGTAAAACAGACAAAGTTTGGGTCTTTTTAAAGAGCCGAGTGAAACATATCAAGTGAAGTTTGTTTTGTAAGTATTTAAACAAAGACAAAGCTACGTTAATGCTGTGACAAAATGTGCATAAAGTAACTTTTGGCCCAGATCATCCCCTCCTTTGGTGGCTTTAAAGGAGAAAATTTCCATGAGACACCCCTTGTGGTGAACCTCCCATCTCATCCCACCAGGAGGGGTGGGACTTGTGTGCCCCCCCCCCCTCCCCGCCAAAAAAAAAGGCTATGAAGCCTCCCCTGGTGGATCAGTAGGAGACCAGGACTACTAGAGTAGAGCTCTGCCCCGGCTCTCTGATGGCGTCCTGGCATTGGAGCCTCAATGACCTCCCCGCCCCCCTCACCTCTGCTGTAGCGCCTCTTGGGATTGGGAAGGGGGTTATGCGGAAAAGCTGCATTATCTTTTGTGTCTAATGTTCACAGGGCTGGTGAGGGAGCCTATGTGCATTCTTGCCCTGTCCCACTCAGTCTCCAGCCTGCCCAGTTTGGACCCTGGACTGCACAGAGGTGGCTCTGCAGGGTCCAGAGTGTGAGAAAGTGCCATAGAACTGCCTGAGGTGTGCCCTGAGGATGTAGAGAGCACAAGCTGGGCCTTTGAATTTCAGCTCTCTGGAACCGGTGTCCCAAGGCCATATACATCACCATTGTCACCCTTAAACCCGACATCTCAGGCAGCTATTATCTCTGCCAACCTGTTGACTAGTTACAATTAAGGCTGAATTTATTTTTGTACATGACTAGTATGTACTGTAAATGTATCACCAGTTTTATTTTTGTTTACAGGGGTTGCCTGTAAGGGTGTTTAATCCTGTGAATGGATGTCTTAAAACAATTTCTTCTAAAGTCTGTTTAAACATAGAGCACAGAGGTCTTTGTTATTTGTGCTTTGGTCACTCCTTTAATTTTGTCTCTTGTCTCATCTGTTGCATGGGAAGAGGATGACAATGATGAACTGCATGTAGTAGGCTATGCGTATCAAGAACTGTTGGTATGTATTACTAAATTTACATACATATATGCAAAGAGTTGGTTTGCATTGTACAGTTTGTGTTTATTATCATTTGTTGTATACACAGAGGCAACATATTGAATAAAATGTTTATATGAAGGCATATTGAAAAACAAAACAACTTTATCTAACAAGCAGAATGTGCAAAATAACATTGCACTGGCCACAATATAGTGAAACCATGTAGCTAGGTTGGCAAACTCAATTCTCCCCCTTTACCATGCCAAAGAAAATTTTAGCTCCTTGATATATTACCTCTCTTGCTCCAGGATAATACTTCGCCATTTTGTTCCCTCTAAAATTAATTTTGCTGTTAAGTGAAAACTATTTTCAACTGTCTGTTACTACTAAAGTACTGTATAGTAAACCTGATGAATTAATTTATATTTACAGATTTTGTGTTTTGTATTTCCATGTATGTGACTCTACAGTATGCCAGACATTTGCATGCTGTGTTTTGTAGTGCTCCTTCCTTTCTTTTTATTTAATCCCAGAGAGCGTGGTTTGCACAGTGGTCCAATCTCTTCACTATCTATCTCACTAATGCACAGGTACGTTAATAATGCAGATGGGCACGATCTCTTCATTTTCCCTCCGAAACAAAAAGTTCATTTTTATTTCAGCAACAATTTTGGCAAAATATCAGTCACGTATACACACACAGTTCTTGGTAGCTATGTACAAATTGAATAAAGCACTATTTTAGTTGGGCTTAAAAAGCGTTTTATAGATTCACATGAACCCTTACCAGCTTGGTCATGTTTATGAAAAACTACAGTAGCTTCTCCAGAAATATCACAAGTGGTTGGTAGCTCACTTAACACCTCTTTTGCTTCTTCTCCTATTCTTTAAGAAACGCTCAAATCAACATGTTTATGTATTGTCATTTTTTCATCCATATGATTTGTATAACAAAATTAACCCACAAAAGAATAAAAGGACCTTCTTTCACAGTGTATTTACTTGAAAGAATCTTGTAAAGCTCATAATTGTTTACACACAGAGGGACAAATTCTCTGCTGCTGTAATGTTATAGCAATCAGTCGAGTAGACAGAGAGGTTGACCCATGTATTAAAGGTGTGTCTTGTTGATCCATCTGTTCTGTGGTACAAAGTAGAAATTTTCAACTCCATTCAGGTTAGAAAACGTAGGAAAATTAGACATAGTATAGTTTTGTTTAAATGCTCCTTTGGATAAATTTGTGATCTGTGCAATACATTTCAAGATTTTTTCAGGATGTCTAATGCAAGTCCTATGATTTATTTTTTTTAATGTAATAAAATCTTTGTTCTAGAGCCCAGTCATAAAAATATTCAACTTAGTTTTATTTGTCCCTGGACTACAGTACGAAATATAATTTAGAAGTAAAGTGAGTCACCATTCCAGGAAGAAGGAGGGCAGTGCATCAAAAACACCAAGCCAGGGGTACATGATCAAATCTTCAGCTACACGCCTCTGAAAGAGAGCTTGACCATTTACCCTCCCAGTAATCCTTTCCCTTTGCTAAATCATGGATACAAGCAAAACAGTGAACAACAAGTTTATGTCTGAAACCCAAAAAGAAGTTATATAGAGTGGCCACAATCCTGCAAAGTGCTGAGAGTGCTCAGAAGTAGTATTCAGCACTTTTCAGATGGTGCCCTTTTTATCACAAGAATGGAGAACTGTATATGTGTTCAGTATCAAACTCCCCACTTATCTAACCAGCTTTCTCTTTCTGTAATTACTGTTTGCCCAAGACCTGGAAGCAGTGACATAATTAGTGTATGTTAATTAGATGGGAAATATTTTTCACTCCCTTGCACCTCTTTTTACTTTTACAATTTAGGCAGACAGTATTTTCACATACATGGAACAATAATATTTATCTTCAAGTCTTATTTTTAAAGCAAGGGAATAAGTTGCGTAGAAGATATACTGGGACTCATATCACCAGTTTCCTCGGTGTGGGAAAAAAAGCTGTTCAAGCCACACACACAAAAAAAAGAACAAAAAATGGAAAAGAAAATAGATATCCATTACATTTTGAGCAGTCTTAGTAAATACTATATGGCTTATAGCACAGTTTTGCTTTGATACTTTATATTTTACTTAATTCCAGGCACTAGCCTTGTCAAAGAGAATTTTAAAACATTTTTTTTAAATAAGGCGATATTAATCCACCCCAATAGCTGAAAATTAAAAAACAAACCTATTATGGAAGTGTTTAAAAGTTTGTCTTACTAGAAATTAGAATCACGTCTATGTTTTTAGTTTACAAACTTAAAAGGAAAACAGACAAAATCACACAGTAAAATAAAATACATCGAATATTACATGACACACAGATATCCAGCAATTTATGGCCTTAGAGAGAATCATTTTCCAGTCTAGGAATATGGCTGCCTGAATATCATAGCTAAGATACAGTATTTTTATCTTTGTTTGCTAGTTTGTTTAAATGATACCAAGTATCTATTCAATCTAAACAACATTGATTTTCTTCTTTGTTAGCTGTACAAAGTACTGTACATACATGGCAGACATAATGAAGCTTGATTTCCTTTACTCTTTCATTGACTCAGAAGTACCCCACATCTGTCAGACATTTATTACGATAAGAGACTTCCGGTCTGTGTTAATTTATATATAAATAAAACAAACAAGCTTATGTTCACCAGTCAAAGACCAGTGTCGGCAAATGTTCAAATGACACAGTGAAATACCTAATCTCTGTACAGTTTAACGGTTACAACCATAAAATATAAAATGTGATTTCAAAACTTGTTTTACTTCAAAGTTTGTTTATGCTACATCAATACATTTGAGAACTCTGCCTGATATTTTGGTTATCGAAGGAGAGGCAGTAGCAGCTTTTGGGTATAGTTGTCTCTGTGAATGTGCAGAACTCCCATGAATAAGTTATGCACAGACATTTAGAGGTGACTGGATTACGCCTCCCTGAGAACATGGGCTTTGAAAAGCTGCACATTTATGTTTAAAAAGAAAATGAGGTCAGAGCAGGAGCAAGCTAAATGGGAGGGGGAAATGATTGTTGAAAACCTTTCCATCACGCACCTGAAGTTTTCACACTATAACTGTTACATGTTCTGTACTGGTGTATTTTCCAATTTAAATAATCAATGTCCTTTCTATAAGAAAACAAATTTCTAGCGTAATAATGGAAATACCATTTTTCAGTTGATACACAGGTTCCTTATTTCTTAGTCTTGTATCAAACTAAAAGCCTGAAACTTGACACCTACATCACAACATAACAATATCAAAGTTTGATTTGTTTTGTGATTTAATCAAAATGTCAATCACTTTTGAAAAGAAAATGTACGTCTTTTTTCGCTCTGAAGAATTAAAGGGCTGCCAAACCTACACGTAGGAGGGAAAAAAGATTCAAATGTAAATAACTTAGGGAAGTCCCAAGATAGTTGTGCATCTTTCATAATTCAATGTGAATTTCCCACTGAGCAGCATTTCACCATTGATAAGAAATAAAAATTTTGTTCATACCCCTGCACTGTTTGTATTTACTGTTTGAAAACTGCAATTCAATTATTTTGTTTCCACCATTGGAACATCTTTCATTGACAGCAGTGTGCAGTACAATGTACCTGATTTTCTAATTCAGTTGACGGTCGGACTCCCAGCCTCTATAAAAGTAATAAGATACAGCGAATATCGTGTGTGACAGTGTAATCTGTTCCGTAATAGTGAGTCCTAATAGCATACAGAATTGGCCTCCTAAAAGTTACCTAATACATTTTCATGTGCTTTTCTTTTTAAGACGACTAGGTAAGTGTACATACATAACACTATGGTAAAAATACATACAAGTTATAAGATATTTATTAAATATAGCAACTCATTTATCTGGATTTTTTAAAAAAAAATCTTATCCTACAAGTTATGTATTTGAGAGTGTAGTATGAAGACTAGATAACCAGCTTAATGATATTGTAACCACAGAAATCAAGATTTATTTATTTTTTTTAATTGTTCTGTTCTAGCAATGGGGTCTGGTTTTATAATTTGGGTCATTGGCCTACTCTCTGGGGTTGTTTAGGTATTTGGATCTCAGTTATACAACTGCAGATCTCTGACAAAAGTTAAAATAATTAGTTTTGAGGAGCAATTTACAGCTTCTCTTGTTAGTGGAGCAGGGAAATAATCAGAATTGGAAGGAAAAAAACCCAGCCAAATAATAATGTATTTGACAGATACCAGAAATGGCATCAGATACCCTTTTTGACAAATATCCAGCCAGCTCTACTCTTTTATATGAATGCCATTTCGTTATGTAATGGTGTCGAGATTTGACAACAAGCTAAACTATGCAATAACGCTTTCTTGTGTCACTTCAGTGGAGCCAGGAATTCAACCTTAAGACTTCTAAGGCCAGTCTCACTCCCACTGAAGTCAATGTGAGTGTGGCAAATTAATTTAATAGGAGCAGGAGTAGACCTGCAGTTGGTTGTTATGAAACACAGAAACTTACATTGGTCTATTTGAATATTTCTGGTGGTGGTTCTATGTGGTTTGCCTTGCATTTAATTGTTCTAGCAGCCTAAAAAACCAAACCAAACCCCTCAGTCCTTGATGCTCCATGTTATGATTAAGGGTATTCTGTGCCAAGCCAGATTTCACAAGCATTCCCATTCCATCCTTCCCAGCATTCACAGTTTCCACAGCTACATACACCATTGCCTAGAACAAAACAAACAGGAGATAATTACCATAATTGAAATGTACTGCATTAAACTGTGTTGTTATAGGAAGAAACGAGCCATAATAAAACATTTTTACTGTCCCTTTACATATTTTTTTGTTGAGAGCACTTTACATTTGATTAAGCAGCCACCAAAACCCTACATTTTCAAATAATTAATGGCATCTTTACAGCAATGCCATCAGCAGAATAATAATTATTGTAATTATGCCATCATGGTTTGGACCCAAGCTGTTTCTATGTTGTCTTAGTGTTCCCACTATACTTCAAGATGTAAGGAAAAACTAGAACTATTTAGCTGAAGTTAAACTGTTGCAAAGAGAATAGTATTAGGAATAAACCTTTGAAATTGAAAAGCACCTTTTTCAGCTGAGGAGCTGAGTGTTTGACAAAAAATAGTCTCAGATTGAAAAACTGAGGCACAGAGAGGTTAAGACCAATATTTTCAAACCCCTCCATCACTTGCGGGTGACAAACTCAAGTGGAGTGGTGGAAAATCAGGCCCCAGGCATCTCAAGTTGGCCACTCAAACACAGTGAATGCTTTTGGAAATTTAGTCAGCCAAGTAATTAGTTGCAGATTTGTGAATAGAACCTGAAACTCCCGACTCCATCTTTCATGCTCTGATACCCTTCCTCCTATTCTTTGTTTAAGCAGACACATAGTTCTGTCTTTTGCCATCTCTGTATCCACCGGCTAATAGAAGAACATTGCTAAGCAAAGATTTTTCTAGATGGAAAGATGCAGAGATTGTCCTCTACGATTGTCATCATGGAACACATAGCAAGTTAATCAAACAGATCACACGTTCCTGCTTGTCACTAGATTTTTCTCCCTTCTCTGTTAAAAGCAAGTGTTGGCAGTCTACCCATTTCCCTTTGCATCTGCCATCTAAACCCTGTGATAGGTGCAAAAGACTTTAGTCAGCATCCAACATGTCATAAAAAAGACTGTCAGGCATCTCAGCATCCCAGTGATAGTTGTCTTGATGCCAAGGAAGTCTATGAAAAAAACATGACTCTTCCCCTCATCATAATATAAGCACCTGCTCCTGCTGCATTACCAAGGATTCTAAAACTAAATGGTTTCTAAATGCATTACATACATTCATCATAAAAAGTGAAGTAAAGATGGTGATAGCAACAGAAACCACTGAATCGCAACCTTCTCATACATGTTCATTTCCGTACAGGAACAGGTGATAGACAAAAGCATTTTACTTTTTGGATGAATTTCACAAGTGATTTAATTATTGGTATTCATGCTGTGGATTTCAATTTTCCTTGCAAAGTGTGAAATTGATTATTCATCACAACACAAAGCAACACTCTCTTAACAGCTAAAGTGATTTTATTAATAGGAAAGTGCTCCTCCTTTCCATCAATGAACAAAGAGAACTTGCTGGGTTTTGTCTAACTTCAATTTGCCTTTATGCACAGTCTGCTTCTCAGAGCAATTAAGGATTAGTCAGTACTGCACCTGTGCAAATGAGACCATCATGTTTGTCACAGTCTCTGTCGTCACATTCACAAAATTCCCCTGAAATGTACCATTCCTGGGATGAACAGATGCACTTTCCACAGTGACAGGAACCTGAAATCACAAAGATTATTACTTGCAATCATAGGGCACCAGCACTTTTCAGGCTGGGATATAACATCTCAGACCCATGCAAAATTGCCATCTGACAAGCTACTGTCTAAAAGAAGATCATCAAGCTAAAAGCTTATTGAATAAAATGATCCTTTACAGGTCAGCCTGAGTATGAAGTGGTGTTCTATGTAATGCCTTGATTTTGCTTCTTTTATTTATTCAGGACTCACATTTAGAAGTTTTGCTTTTGTTCCAGAGCATCACAATCAAGGCTACTCTTCCCAGGAGCTGTTCTGCTTTGTGGCTAGATGAATCAAAATCATGCCTGGTCCAACCTTATTGAAGTCAATAAAATTGCATTGAGATGAAAAATGGCCCATACTGTTTAAGGCACACAAATAGCACCTTGCTGCTCTCTGACCTTTTCTTTCCATTTGTTCTGGATCACTACGGGTTGGATTTTCAAAAAGACTAAGTGCCTTAGGAGTACATGGTACATTGACTTTCAATAGGATATGCTCCTAAGTCACTTTAAAAATCCCACTCTTTCCCACATTTCAAGAGGCTTTCCTTTATTACAGTAGGGAGCCATCAACGTGCTCAGTGCTGTACAAACCAGAGAAACACATGATGATCCAGCCCCAGAGAATGTGCAATGTACCTTAGACAAAGATATTTAATTCACAGAAATCTATACAGGGCCTGATCTAAAGCGCATTGCAGTCAAATTTGCATCTTTCCGTTAAGTTCAGAGGGCTTTTGCTCAGGCCCACAGTCAAAACTCAAAGTGGAAACTTTCCTTTAAATTTTGAGCTGCGTAAATCAATTGAACATTCCCCAGAAAAATCTCCACAACAAATCCTGTACTATTTATCAATTGAATCTATTCCTATTAATTAAAAACTTCAAAGTAGCACAGGTACTGACCCTCTTTAAAAACGTAACATTCACTGAATTACTGTAGGTTGATCAGAGTTAATTTACTGCGTTAGCGTAGCGATAAGTTGTCTTAAACTATAACATACTGTAATATACAAATAAAGGACTTATACTTGGGAACAGAGACTTTAACATGAATTTCTCTATGGTTTATTAACATGCTGCCTATTAAACTATGCAAATAGGGAAACATTAACTTTTAACCGAGGGTAAAATATTTCAGTGCACAAAGAGGCAATGGAGGAAAGCACATACAGTAAGATAATTTAAAGATTACTGTACTGGCCAAGCTTATATTTCATTATGTATTTGAGATTGATTTAAGCCAGGTGTTTCTATTTCCAAATCAACTAGAAAGCACCAACAGCTACACCTGTTGATGCCAAGAAGAGCCAAACAGGATGTGAATTTTAGCAAGAAACATTAAGAAGAAAGCAGAGTATTGTAACTCACAGCTAACCAAGACTTATTAAAGGTATTTTGTAGACAATACAATACATGTAACATGTAAAAGGAACTTAAATAAATCAGAAAGAAAAGGAGTACTAGTGGCACCTTAGAGACTAACCAATTTATTTGAGCATAAGCTTTCGTGAGCTACAGCTCACTTCATCGGATGCTCATGCTCAAATAAATTGGTTAGTCTCTAAAGTGCCACTAGTCCTCCTTTTCTTTCTGCGAATACAGACTAACACGGCTGTTACTCTGAAACCTTAAATAAATCAGGTTCCATAATGCATCAGTATGTTACAAAGTCTCTTTCCTGCCTTGGGAGCCTCCTCACTTTAATTAAAAATAGTCTAATTAGTTAGGGTAGTTTTCCTGTAATTCTGGCCAGATCCTTTTTGTCTCACTGACTAACCTGAGTCCAGCATAGTCACAGCAACCATCTGCTGCCCTCCAGCTATTTCTGAAGCAGCAGCAGCATGGTGGGTGTTTCTGTTTTCACTGTTAAGAATATTTACTATAGGCGGCGAGCCAAGATTTTGAAAAGTGACTAGTAACGCTTGATGTATGTTAAAGGGGCCTCATTTTCAAAAAGTACTGAGCAGTCACCCTGTGAAAACTAGTATCGCAAGTTGACATCCAAACACTGAGGCTTCCCCTAATCAGTTGTCACTGTGGAAAAATGTTGGCCAGAATTCCTGCGAAGATTTAGTAGCTGTGAAGCTAGGTACTCACTAGTGCATAGGCTATTGACAAGCCAGTTATTTCACAAACAACAGCACTGGTATGCAGAGAACTGGCTCA